GCTCTCTCTCTCTCTCTCTCTCTCTCTCTCTCTCTCTCTCTCTCTCTCTCTCTCTCTCCCACCAGTGGCCATCATCATGGACACAAGCCCGGACCAGTCCTTCCCCGGCAGTCACTGGCTCCACTTCTCCGTGTACCTCATCACCTTCCTGGTGGGGCTCCCCCTCAACCTGGTGGCACTGGTGATCTTCATAGGCAAGCTGCAGCGCCGCCCCGTGGCCGTGGACGTGCTCCTGCTGAACCTGACCCTCTCGGACCTGCTGCTGCTGCTCTTCCTGCCGTTCCGCATAGTGGAGGCGGCCAGTGGCATGCACTGGCCCCTACCCTCCATCCTCTGCCCCTTCTCCAGGTTCCTCTTTTTCACCACCGTCTATCTCACTTCCCTGTTCCTGGCAGCTGTGAGCATCGAGCGCTTCCTGAGTGTGGCCTATCCACTGTGGTATACGACCCGGCCCAGGCTGGTACAGGCTGGCCTGGTCAGCGGGGCCTGCTGGTTCCTGGCTGGTGCACACTGCAGCGTGGTCTACTTCACCGAACTCTCGAGGAACTCTTCCTACAGCGAGGGTACCCAAAACACCTGCTACCTGGCATTTGAGGAGAAACAGCTGGCTGTTCTCCTGCCTGTCCGGCTGGAGATAGCTGTGGTCCTTTTTGGGGTGCCTCTGCTCATCACCAGCTACTGCTACAGCCGCCTGATATACTTGCTCAGTAAGGGAGCCAGCCGTCACCGGCGGAAGAGGGTGGCAGGGCTTGTGGCAGCTACACTCCTCAACTTCCTCGTCTGCTTTGGGCCCTACAATGTGTCCCACGTTGTGGGTTACATTCAGGGTAAAAGCCCGGGGTGGAGAAGTTATGTGCTGCTCCTCAGTACCCTGAATTCCTGTGTTGACCCCCTGGTCTACTACTTCTCATCATCTGGGTTCCAAGCTGACTTTCAGGGGCTGCTGGGGAAGCTGCCTGGGGCCCGAGGNTGAGTGGCCACACACACACACACACACACACACACACACACACACACACACACACACTATGCATAAGCTGCTGCTTTCTGAGAAGAAAAGAGAAAAGCCTGGCAACTTCTTACTGCTTTACACCCTCTGAAAATCCCCTGTCCCCTCCCCGCTTGTCCCTCTGCTCTTCCAGACACCCCAAAGTTGACAATTGAGGTCAGTCCTGAAGAAGCCATTGTAACAACGGGGGCTTCTGTGACCATGACGTGCAAAATCCTCAGCAGCAACCCAGAGGTCACGAATATACGCTGGCTCAAGGATCGGACCCCGGTGAGAGAGCCGCGGAGAGAGCAGAAGACGCTCACGCTAACTCTGTCCCAAGTGACCAAGGAGATGAGTGGAAACTACTACTGTGAGGCCCACAATGATATAGGCTCAGGAAAGAAGCAAGTGACCCTCCAAGTACACTGTGAGCCTCCTGGGAGCTGGGGAGTTAGCATGGGGGGAACCAAGGCCTTTGAGAGGTCAGCAGTGGAGGCCTCTGCTCACCTCCCCCCCCCCACTTGCCTCTGCCCCCTTCTCCAGATGCTCCGGAACCTTCTGAGGTTCAGATCTCCCCCTCACCAGCTAAGGAGGGAGGTACAGTAGTGCTGACTTGTGTATCACCGGCCAACCCTCCTCCAACAAATTACACCTGGTTTCACAATACGATTAAAATGACAAGCAAGACAAGCAAGGTCTTCCACATCCCAAAGGTCCTCCTCAGTCATGCTGGGAATTATTCCTGCTTGGCAGAAAACAGTGTTGGTCCTGGACTTGCTGGCAAGAAAGCTGAGTTGGACGTCCAATGTGAGTAGTCACAGAGCCTCTGGGTTCTAGAGGGAGAAGGTGGAAGTGGGTGGAGGAGGAAGGTAGATGAATACAGGACATTCCCCGGCTCTAGAATGGATNACCCCCTGGTCTACTACTTCTCATCATCTGGGTTCCAAGCTGACTTTCAGGGGCTGCTGGGGAAGCTGCCTGGGGCCCGAGGTCTTTGGAGGCAGGAGGGCAGCAAAGAACAGGAGAAGAGCGGAAGAGAGGGGCCGCATCGGGAGCTGTCTAACCTGGAGAACAGATAGTGGGCCCTAGGAGGGCAGTGGAGCGGGCAGCCAAGTGGCATGGACTGAAAGACACCCACAGAGCAGTTGCTAGCTCAAGTCAGGCAGGACCTCGGAGAGGCAGGCTGGGGATTGATGCAGCCAGGGCAGAGCGGGCACCCAGCCTTCCAAAGGATGTGCTCACCCAAGCCCGACTCTTGATCTCACCCCACTGTCCTCCCTTCCCATCCCCCCACAGGCTCTAGCTTAGGCTCTGGGAAGTAGTCAAGGTGAGAGAGAGCTCTGGAGAGAAATGAGTTCCCCGTGGCAGCAGGCCAGCTCCTGTGCTTTACTGAGGGTGAAGAAGCAATTGAGAGCAGTGCCCAGGGTCTGAGGGGACTTCCCAGTGACTTGGGACCAGAGAGAAGGAGAATCTACCCTTCCGAGCCACTGGCCTGGTAGGTCAGGGGTAGGGAATGCAGGACTCCGGGCACAGGGAGCATCCTGCTCACGTGAGCTTTTCCAGAAAGTTTCCATTGTTCAATAAATTCAACTTTTCAGGGACGTGTATGAAAAAAAATGACAGAACAGAAACTACCTAAATAAATTTGACAGCAAGCAAAAGAGAATGGTCTTTCCTTACTCTGTCTTCTTATGGTGTATGCGGGTCAGGTGGAATTGGTGGACGGAAGGATAAAACTCCTAGACTCTACAGGAATAGGGCTAAACAGTGAGATGCCCGGATGCTGGGAGAGGATCTGGGTTGGAGGAATAAAAATAATAGCTCATCCATCTTGAGGGCTTGTCCTGACACGTGGGTTTCTTCAACCTTCTGGACGGTGAGCGGCCATCCAGAAGCCGGCAACTGATGTGCCTCGCCCGGGAAGAGCGCAATGATGGTGCCAACAACTTGGGCCAGTGAGGCAACGTCCTCCACAACTAGACTGAAGAGCAAAAACAACAGCGGCTTGTCTGTTCCCCTTCCCCCAATTCCCCAGCGCTGTTCCCATCCCCCCAATTCCCCAATAAAAAAACTTTAAAAATAAATAAATAAAATTTTAAAGCTTTACAAAAAGGACTAACTCATTAATGGCCATGAAGTAGGAGGCACTTTTCCCTCCTATAAGGGAGGGTACCCCTTCACTGAAAACTAGGGCAACTCAACCTAGAAGGACAAGAGAGCTTTGACCCATCCCTGCCCCAGGTTCCCTGGGCCACAGGTCAAGTACCAGTTTATAGGGAAACAGGGAGGAGGCTAGAAGTTTTAAATTACCAAGTATGACCATAAACCTAGGAAAGCTATGCAAGAAGTCATTACAAAATCGGCAAAGATGGTTCGCTGCAGCCTGGCTGAAGGCAGTGAGTGGTGAAAGCACTGCAGGCTTATGCCATGATAAGCTCAGACTGTTCATAAAGCAGTATCGTGGGGCGGGGGACAGGAAGCAGGCACAGGGAGGCAGGCTGACTTGATGCCTTCTCCGGAGTTGAATACATATCACCTGTGACCAGGGCCTTGGGATAGTTTAGCAGGTGGCCTCTCCTTGATACGTGCCTGGTGGGGCAAGGAAAACTGCATACAAAGCAGGAGAGGTAAATCTGTGTCAACAAAAACTAGAGCAGGTTGCTGGCCGGGGGAGGAGGAAGGGAGGTGAAGAACAGATGGGGGTGAGCAAGACGACTGGGAGTATGCAAAGTTAGTTGCAAGAATTATCCAAAAGGAAGAAGCAGAGCAGCAATAAAAGTAGAAAGACACATACATGGAAGAAAAGTCAGGCCATAGATCCTGGGAGAGGAGAAAGAGATGGGAGACAGAGTGTGAGAAAGCACTCACATTTTTTTTTTTTAAGATTTTTATTGGGGAATTAGGGGATGGGAACAGCGCTGGGGAATTGGGGGAAGGGGAACAGATAAGTTGCTGTCCTTTTGTTCTTCAGTCTGGTTGTGGAGGACATTGCTTCACTGGCCCAAGTTGGCACCATCATTGCGCTCTTCCCGGGCGAGGCAGATCAGACGCCGGCTTCTGGACGGCCGCTCACTGCGGCTGCTGGCCGCTCACGCTGGCTGCTGACTACACACGGTAGCCCNCATGCCAGACACAGCCATATACCCATTTCCTCATTCCAGTTCCATAACATCCCCCACCCCCCACCTCCACCATCACTGCCAGATAATTAATGGTCTCAAGAATTGGACCTGTTCCTTCAAGCCAGAAGTATATATGCCCAGAGTCAGTCTCTTTCACCAAGGTTAAGACTGTGGCACATCCATCCAGCCGCTCATTTGACACATTAGTTCCTACTGTGAGCATTAGACATAATACATAAGGGGCTGAGAGGCTGGGGTGCCCTTGGGGTCTAGGAGAGTTGAAAGAAGGAAGAGGTTTCCTGAGAAAAGTTTCATTTGTGGTCCTCTGTCTGCTCTCCCTCTCAGAGATGCAAGAAACTCAGAGGCACAGAGACCTTCCCTAAACAGGGACAACACAGTCACTTACTCTGTGGTGCAGAAACCTCAAGTGGTAAGAGGGCGGGGCTATGGAAGGTCAGGGGATGGGGAACCTGGCTCAGCTGTGAGTCCCAGATGGGGGGACTTGGGTGGACTCAGTGGTCGCAAAGGCTGGGCGGCACGAGTGTGGGCAGAGCTAGGGCAGGCACCTCCCAGTCTGAGATGCCAACAGCAACCAGTTTCTGGACAAGAGGACTCCTGCTTGGGCTCTTGAACCCCCAGTTGAGTCAAGGAGAGAGTGGGCAGAGAAAACAGATGGTGGGAGGCTGGTGACCATGAGGCCAAGCTAACCACAATGTGGCTTTCTCAGGGCGACTATGAGAACGTGACTCCAGATGTTCCAGAAGACGAGGGGATACATTACTCGGAGCTGGTTCATTTGGGGGTTGGGGAGCGGCCTCTGTTCCAGGACACAGTGGAATATGTGACCCTCAAGCACTGATGGACCAAACCAACAGAAGTGGAGGTGCCTAGGGGCTGCAGGGGCCAGGCTGGTCATGGAGGTTTCCCAGCTTCTGCAGCTCAGCAGAGAAAGTCACACAGCCTCCCCCCTGCCCCCCCCCACACACACACATACACACTCACTTATTGCACCCAGAGTCAGTACAGAGAACTATGGGGGGCATGGCCAAGAGATAGTCTTCCTTCTCAGCACTGGTAATCCCAGCCATCCAAAAGGCCTGCCTTTGGTCTGTTCCCATTCTCCTCTCCACCTGAAACTCATGTAAACACCTAGCCTGCACTGTACAAATCCCCCTGCCCCTCCCCAGCCATCTGCTACCACCCACCCCTGCAAAAACCCCACCCCCAGCTGGCTGTGTCTCTGCTGGGATCAGCTTGTTGCTAGTTTTTCTTCTTTCCCTCCCCATCCCCTTGATACCCCCCCCCCCCCCACACACATACACACACACTGCTCTGATAGCCCCACTCACTGACCTTCAGCCTACTTTTTGCCTTTGGGGCAAAACCCGGGAAAGGGACAGAAATGAGGTAGAAAGAGGCACTGTCTGGCGCTGGTTTCTCCTCTACATGTCAGTAAGGTATCCCACAGAGAGGATCACGCTGCTGCTGCCTCACGCGCAGGGGTCTCGTGGTCTGAGACATCCACCAGTGTGGACGAACATGTAACAAACACAGGGCGGCACAATAAAAATGGTTAAGATATCACTTCAAAGAACCAGTGAGCTATTTCCAGTCTGTGGAACCAGAGTACAATGGGGACATGGAGAAGGCATCCTGGGGCTCGGGGAGAAGGGAAAGGAATGAAGGTAAGTAACGTCATGATCAAATCAGCAGGTTGGAGAGTCCGTTGTCTTGTTGCATAGAGGGCACCGGGTCTGAGTCTTATTCTGAGCCTTCGATTTAACTTGCCCAGTGATGGTGGGCAAAGTTCACTAGCTTATCTGAGCTTCAGTTTCTTTCTCTGTAAAATGGGGATGCCACTGCCTACTGCGCAGCTGGTTTAAGATAGCTAGTGATGTACAATCCTGCAGAGGCTGGAGTCATGTTATAAGAAGTCTTATGCAATTGNCCTACGCTGTCGCCAGTGACTCACGGCAGCCCAGCTCCAGGTTGAGCTGTTGTTCAGCATCTTAGCTGTGGAGGGCAGTGTCACTGGCCTTCATGTGTGGGATCCGAACTGGGGCCCTCTGGCGTCCCAAGCCAGCTCTTAACCATCGTGCCACTCGGCCGGCCCAACACTCACAAATTTTACCTTCCTCTCTCTGACAGGACTCCTCTGGTTTAAAAAGAAAGCCCCCAGCGATACAGGTAGCTGTGGCCTCTAACACTTTGCAAGGTCTATGAGAAGGCTGCTGACGTCCCTTTAAGGCTAGTTTTGAAAACTAATCCCTGTGGAGAAAGAGCAAGGCATCAAGATGGTGACCAGTGTCCTGGGGAAAAGGATGCTGGGATCACACTCCAGAAAAAGAATGGGATAAAAAGAATGAAATCTGATAAACACTGGTGGAAGTGGGAAGGTGCACGTAGTTCACCCCCACTCCCCCATGGAGACATGGAACTAGGGGAGAGAAAATGTTGCAGCAGAAGAAATGGGGTACAGAAATATTTTTGGAAGGGGGGGGGAGATTTTACTGGATTTAGACTAGAAGGGTACGGTGAGACACAAATCAATCATCCCCAGTTGCACATCACCCAGCCCTAGGCATCGAATTGTAATTGGCACTAATCGTGATAACCTTGTTCCCTTTTATTAAGGTGACTGGTCTCAGGATGGACACATGTCCCAATTCTAGCCAATGAAAGTAAGAAGTCTGCTAGGGGCCCCTGGGAAAGATTTTCCTCCATATTAAAAGAGATAAACGTGTGAGGAACTGCCTTCTCCCTTCCTTGTTTGGAAGCTTTTCTGTAAGGATGTGATACTTGGAGCTGCTGCAGCCATTTTGGGGCCATAAGGCCACAAAGTTAAAGAAGAAAGCTAACAAATTCAGGGTGGCAGAGACGAGGGATGAAGGGGCCTGGGCCCTAATGACCTTACTGAGCTGGAACCACCAGCTCCAAACTCATTGTTAATAAATATTCCTATGTTCGACTTGCTGTTCACTAGATACTCTCTGACTTGCAGCCAAATGTGTCTTAACTGGAATGGATAAGCCTATATCGAAACATCCTACATCCTACTAGAACCTACCTAATGACATCTTATTTTAAATTATTTTATGATCCTGGAATTTTAAAGCTCTATTTGTTTTGTAGGAGCTATGAAATCTTAGTGTTTATCTTACCTATTATGGCTGACCTTAGATTTCTTATGGTTTCAGTCAGTAGTTCTGGCACCAAGATGTCGGGACTCCCGTCATTCAGAAAGGGGCTTTTGAAGGCTGATTAGATGGGGCTGCATTACAAGACAAAAAAACAAACCTACTGGATGGGATCCTTTTTAAGGTCCAGTATCATATAACTGGCAGCCTCGGCTACCAGCTCTCCTTTTATTGATAAAAATTTCCATACTTATTATTGTGGAATCTTAATTGGTATGGAAACAAGAGAAGGTTGAATGGCTGGGGTGGGGATCACGAGCAACGTTGTCCTGTGGAAGGGTACTTAGCCCTGCTCGGTGTTCTTGGAAACAGGGGATCCACCCAGTCTTCTTGTCCCTGAAGTCACTATAATACACGTAATGCCCACATGAGGATGAGGTTATGTGTTCCTGGATGCTAATTTACTACTCACAGTTAGCGCACACAATTAGGGGCTTGCTGTTCGCTGATTCCGTTCATCCCTGCCCCCCCTTTCTAATAACTGTTTTTTAGCGGTTCTCTATGCTTAGAGTACAACCCTCATCTTTGTATGTAAATTAAGCCTCAATAAAAAAGTTGATGAAGGGGGCCGGCCGAGTGGCTCAGTTGGTTAAGAGCTCGCTCAAGAGTTTGAGCTCTGAGCAACAGCGGTTCGAGTTCCAGCTGGAGCTGAGCAGCCGCTGAGCTGCCAACAGGTGGCAGGATGGCTCAGCTAAAAAAAAAAAAAGTTGATGAAGGGCCAGCAGAGCAGCACGTTGGTTAAGAGCTGGCTTGGGATGCCAGCTCTAAGCAGCAGGGCCCCAGTTCGGATCCCACATGAGGGCCAGTGACACTGATCTCTATAGCTAAGATGGTGAACAACAGCTCGACCTGGAACCGGGCTGCCACGAGTTGCCTGCGACAGCATAGGCTGCAGCCCCTGCTGCAATGGGCTGCCATAAACTACCATGTGTGGTTGGCAGCGCCAAGCGCCGCGGTGAGCGGCCATCCAGAGGCTGGCGACCGATCTGCCTCACCCAGGAAGAGCGCAATGATAATACCAACATGGACCAGTGAAGCGACGTCCTCCACAACTAGACTCAAGAACAAAAGGACAGAAACTTGTCTGTTCCCCTTCCCCCGATTTCCCAGCACTGTTCCCCCCCCCAATTCCCCAATTAAAAAAAAATCTTAAAAAAAAAAAGTTGATGAAAAAAGTCATGTCACCTCACCTCTGTGCCTGTATTATAGGTGTACATAAAGTTGTCAATAAGTCTTCCCAGGTTTCAACAAGCCAAGCAGGTCCCTGCTTTTGCTGTGCCACTCCGCAGAAGCTGTGACTGCTGTGGGGCAGCCAGCCCAGGTTACACCAAAGGGCAGAAACCATGACACAAACAGGCGATAAATGGCAACCAGCTCTTATCCTGATGAGGAAGATCTGCAGGAAGTAGTAAGGACTGTGGCCAACTGGAGAGTGCATGGTTCATCTAAATTTACCTCCTGTCTTGTTACCAAGGAAGCCTGTGGTATGGGCTCACTGCTGCCATACCTTCTAATTTTTCCAGTTCAAAGTCCAGCTGTTATTGCTGTTTGGAAATCTTATGTCCTGATAAGCAATTCAAAATGTTGAAGTGTTGTGTGTGGTGAAAACAAAAAAGCCTGAGGGTTGTGGATTGCCTCACAGGCTTCTAGTTTGTGGCCTCTACAGCAGTGGAGGTTGAGGAGGGTTCAGAGGTTGAGGAGGGGTGAGGGAGGAAGAGAGAGGAACTGTCATTTTGCCGTAAGCACAGCTCACAGATACCTTTGACCAGGTCTGATGGCAAACAGCTGCAAAGACCTGCTGACTTTCTAACATCATCCTTACCAGTCCCTTGTTCTTATTGCGAAGTCCCTGCCACCGCAGCAGCCCTTCTCTGAGAATCATCTCCCTCACTCACAAGACAGGTCTCTGAAGGACACAGCCAGGCAGAGCAGAGGAGCTTCTAATACTCTCCAATTCCAGGTCCATCTCTCTCAACGCTGGCTTTTCCTCCTGTCCCCATGCTCTGGAGGGACTGTTTTGGAAGGCTCTCCCCTTTTGCTCTTGTTCTATACCACCATCTCCCCAGGTGTTCCCATCCATTCCAGCAGTTTTGATCATGGATGACTCCCAAATATCTATCTCCGGCCCCAGACTCTTGTGTATTCAGCCGTATGCAGGGTCATCACAAGTTCACAAGTTCAAGCCAAACCTTCACTTCCTCCCCCAAATTTGACCCCACTTCCTCACCTAGTCTACCTCTGTAAATGGCAACACCATCTTCCCAGGCCAGAAACCCAGGCATCGTTGTTTTAGAAAAAGATTTAATTCTTTTTTATTTTTAAAATGATCACACAATAAAAAGGAACTTTTTCAGTGGTACACGTTCCACATGTACAATTCTCTGAATTTTAACACACATAGATTCCGGTAACCACCACAATCAAGATAAAAGGCCGTGATAGTCACATCTTCCCCTCACCCCTAACCACTGACAACCACAGATCTACTTCACGACAGTTTTATCTTCTCAAGAACGTCACATAAATGGAATCACACAGCTTTTAACCTTTTGAGGCTGGCTTCTTTCACTTAACATAATGTCTTTGAGATTCATTCCAGTTATTGTGAATGTTATAGTTTGTTTCTTTTTACTGCTGAATACTTCATTTCATTGAATGACTGGACCACAATTTGCTTATCTATACACCCACTGAATGACATTTGGGTTGTTTCAGTTTAGGGAAAGTATGGATAGAGCTACTCTAAACATTCACATACAGGTTTTTGTATGAACATACATTTTCATTTCTCTGGGTCAAATATTCGAGAGAGGGATGGCTGAGTCATACGAGGTCAGACAATTAAGTTCTCGAACTCATCCTAGGAAAAGTGCTCCATACCTCATTGCTGAATATCACTACGGTCATCTCCAAAGTACCTCCCCTTGGGAAGCTATGCACCAGTGCCAGCGCCTAGTCCACGCTTCAAAGCAATTTTGGAACTCTTTTTCTGGAATGGCCATCAGAGCTGTCGTCGTATTAACCTTGATGTCCTGAATGTCATCAAAATGTCTCCCTTTCAATATTTCCTTTATTTTCAGATAAAGAAAGGAGTCATTGGGGCCCAG